CCCCAAAACCCCAAAACCCCAAAACCCCATTTGATCATTATAAAAAAAGTAAAGTAAATCAATTTATTAAAATAAGTCCAATTTCAGTTCAATTAATTCTTTTGGTGTTATCCTCTAGTATAGAGGGTCAATATAAGAAAGACACCGATCAAAGAATAGACAATAGCATTTAGCCCCCAGATCATTTATTTTTTACTATTGAGATTAGCTTAGTAAATCTGGTAGTCAGCCCTAACTTGATTAGATTTCTCCAAAGTAATTTGACCCTCTTTCTTTTTTTGCTAAAGTTGCTACTGGAGTCTGCCTTCAAGAGTGCTATCAATTGCTAACTAATCGCTATTAATAATTCGCTCACTCTCTTTAAGCTCAATCATTTTTTCATATTACTAAATCTACTATTCCTAGTTTAAATCCATTTCAAACTATTAGTTGCATAATTTGTCTATCTCATACAGTTTGCCTTAAATAAGAACCATGTAACTTTATTCAAGTTAATCGAGATTAACTTTCTTCCCTGACTACTTAGCTAGAATCTCATCCTTTTTATCTTCTTTCCTAGCTATTTCTTTTGCTTTGACAGCAAGAGCTGACTGATACATTTTTGCTTTTTCCATAGCTATTTTTGCTTAACCTTCAAGAGCTTCCAATTAGGTGAGTCTCTCTTTATTTATATTTGATTCTAATTAAATTTTGTCGCACTATTCCTAATACATATCCTATTTCAATGAATGCTACTAGACCATTATTTATTATTCATTTATGTTTTAATCAAGTGCTTAGCACTTTTTAAGTATGTCATAATTCCTTATCTCAATAGATTTGACGTTTCTTAAATCTTATTAATATACTGCTGGTAAATCATCATAGAATTAAAAATTCACTTCTTTAATTTCAAGCTGAAACTTCATTAAGTCTTTTTTAATATTGCTGATATCTGCTAGTTTAGAAGATTTAGTTTGAAGTCTCTTTTTGTATGCAACTAACAGATTTTATCTCTTCTCTGCAAGCTGTATTTTCACCTTCAATACATTGAGTTTTTTTGCAAAAAGATTCTATATCAATTGTTACTTTTTAGAAACATCTTTCATCTTGATAAATTCCTGATATTGGTTATCCTCACCTTTGAATAGATCTTTCTCTTAGAAGATACTTAAATTTCTAGTTTACAATGCTGCATTATCTTACTAAATCCTTAATGATTAGAAGATTTCTTGTTGTACTTTTTGCCTAGCTAATTTTAAATTTTGCCATGCTTAACATGCATTTTAAAATTTCTAGTCCTTAACTCTCTTTACCCCTTATTTTTATTCTAACTAGACATTAAGCTACTATATTTCCTGATTAAGTTAGTTGATTGCAATTAGATCATTCTTTTCCTTTTCCTGATTGTTTGTTATTTAGAGAGCTATTTTATCATCAAGGGATTTTTTATAATCTAAGGCTTATTTGATCTATTATTTAAAGTGATTCAGGATCAGAATTTCTTCTTCTGAAAACTATTCTTGAGGCTAATAGGTTTGCATTTCCTATTGTTGCTATTGTTAGATTTTTTCACTTGACATCTATTTGCTATTACTAATAATAATTAAAATTATAAATCACAGTATTTTTGTTGCTTTAAATTTCATGTGGGGTTTTGGGGTTTTGGGGTTTTGGGG